ATAAAACCACAATAATAATTTGTATGGTTATGTTATGTTTCATTTCATTTTGGTAAACACCTAGAAGTGGGAATGATGGATTGTATGGTAAGTCTATGTATATGTATATGTATATATATATATATATGTATATGTATATGTATATGGTGGCAGAGTGAGTCAGTGGGTCATATTGTTGAATTTATTTGATTTGAGTTTAATCATTTCAGATCTAATTGAATTTTATGTTGAATAGTTGTTCTTAGGTTCAACCAAGTTTAACTAACAATGCCTGTCATGGTATATGTTAAAAGAAGTGGCTCCATTATTGCCATACAGTGATCTGTCTGATTTTGGCAATTTTAATGATATCTTGCCTTACATAACTTTGCTAAATGTAAAAAACTTGTCTAAAATAGTATCACTTACTTGTGAAATTTAATTACTTCAGGTTCTGTGTGTGTTGAATTTTCACTTTGCCTTTTTTTGTAGTTTAAAGTCAGTATTATTCATAAGAACATCATAGACAGACTAAGAAGAAACATTTCCAGACTAAGAAGAAACATATTAATAAATTAATATCGGTTAAAGTTTTCTTTTTTTTTCCATTTAGTATAGCTAATTTCATTCAAAAGTAATTACTTCTTGAGTAGCATTTATAATAAAATTACTTTATTTGAAAACACCTTCAAATTATTTTTCTTCCAGGGAATCTGGAGTCCTCGAAAAATTCCTAATCCAGATTACTTTGAAGATGATCACCCATTTCTTCTGACCTCGTTCCGTGCTCTTGGTTTAGAGCTTTGGTCTATGACCTCCGATATCTACTTTGATAATTTTATTATCTGTTCGGAAAAGGAAGTAGCAGATCGCTGGGCTGCAGATGGTTGGGGAGTGAAAATAATGATAGCAAATGCTAATGAGGTATGGTACTAACCAAATGGTAGTAATAGGACTTGGTACTGGTTATAGTTATGCAAACCTCCCTTTTAAAGGTAAATCAATATGCCGTAATGACAAAATGCCAAAGAAATGTACTTAAATTTATGTAGACATATTTAGCTTTACTATATTATGATACAACTTCATTATGAACTATATAATGAACTTCATATGTATATGTAAGTCCTTATTTCATTCCTTAAATTATGATAGCTTTAATATAATTTAATGCCTATTTGCTATTTACAGAAATGAGACTAATTAATATTTATATTTGTAGTCTTCGTCTACAAGTCTTTGTCACCTTGTTAATTCAAGGCCTACGTGGTAACAATAATCCTCGGGTTGATTTTATTAATAAATCCCTTAAAAGTGCAGAATGAGTTCTCAGAGAGTTGTATACTTCTAAATGAAGCGGGTGATACATTCATAAAGAGTAAATTCTATCATGAAATTTACCAAAACAGAAAATTGTCATTATTCTTGCTGGTAGGTTAGCGGTTTCCACCTTCGTAGTAACATATCTTCTGGTACAGAGCCTCCAACAGTGATGCATGCTAATAATCAAAAAGTTTAGACTTTACAAAGTATAATATAGGAAAATTAAATATCTTTTAGCTTAACAGGTTCATTACTCCTTAATGTAAAATGCCTAGGTAAAATAAGGTGTTTTTTTCCTTGGTAGGCTGTATTTCCTAATGAAAGTTTGTAAAATCTGAATTGCATTTTCATGCTTATTCCTTCGCCAGCCTGGTATAATTAAACAGTTAATGGCAACGGCGGAAGAACGCCCGTGGCTTTGGCTCATTTACCTTGTGACAGCGGGGCTTCCGGTCGCACTAATTACTTCGTTTTGTTGGCCGAGAAAAGTGAAGGTAAAGAAAAGGAATTTCCATCAACTTAAAAAATAATCTCTAAATGTTTAAGAGTTCTATGAACTGAGCAAGTAGTTCTTAAACGTAATAAACTAATTTTTGTATAATTTTTTACTGATAGTTCACTGTGCGTGATGTCAGTTATTGCAAACATTGTTTTAAATAGTGCTTTGCTTTTAGTAAAAATAGCTTATGTTAAACTACCACAGAAAAAATACGAAGATGCAGAGTATAAAAAAACTGACATATGTAAACCACAAACAAAGGGAGCACTAGAGCAAGAAGCGAAGGACGAGAAAGCAGCCCTCGAGAAACCAGCAGACTTGGAAGAGGAAAAACAGCAAAGTGATGGTGAAATTCTTGAAAAAGGTAAGACAGTGATAGAGATGTGTAGTGGGGACCCTGGGCAAAGCTCATGAGAGCAGCAGGTTGTCTGGTAAACACTAGCCGTTGCACTTGCTTCTTGTCGGGTTTGTACCATCCGAATCCCCAGAAATGCATGACTGTGCAAAGTGGGGTAATCGTCCCTGTCTGGGTGCTGTCCCCGCTGCACAGCCATCATCCTGTCCACAGTTTTTGTCTTCTAGGAAGAAAGAGATTTAAATATTGTTCAGTTGCTTAAGAGCCTAGCAACTAAGAATCCCATACACCGGCGCTTTTTGCAGGGACTTTTCTTGCCTCCGACTATGCAGATGAGACGGACGGCGTAGACCATGGCCTCTGTCCAAGGGTAGTAGGTGTGAGGCAGGTGACCGCCCCAACAACATCAACACCACGCCTTCCAAGGGCTGTTGTTTACCATATTAAATAAATAATCTCCTGAAAGGATTGCCGAATCAAATGAACCCTTCCCACCCTCTAGTAAATTCCTAAAGATGTTAGAACTAAAGAACTGAGGGTTTGGGTGGCTCTCCGTCGAGACCTTATGCACATCTAGGTGGAAATGAAATGATTGGTACTTGCCAAGTGTCTCAAACCAAGTTACAGATTGAGCTTTTTACAACTTAAACTATGTCTTAAGTACTATTTTTAACTTAATAGTTGATGAAACAGTTGACTTAAAAACAGTGATCTCAAAAAAAAAAACCCACACATACATATATTTACATATATACACATACCTATATATTCTTCGGTATTCATATTATATACAGACTGCTTAAGAATTCTTTAAAACTGCCCCTTTCCTCAAATATGATTATTTATATATAAAATGTGGTAAAATAATGAGTCTTTGTAATTAATTTTTTTACAATTTCTAATGGAAGAAATTGCTTTTGGGTATTGGAATTTAAATAACCCCTGCTTAGTGTAGTTAACACATTTCAGTAGCAAAATTCTAATTCATCAAGTCTTTGCCTGTAATAAACTCTGTTCCAGAAGAAGAAGGTGAACCTGAGGAAAAGAGCGAAGAAGAAGTCGAAGTCATAGAAGGACAAGAAGAAGGTGATAAGTCGAATAAGTCTGGATCAGAGGATGAGGTAAGCAGCTCTAACAGAAAATACACCAGTTTCTATGTGTGATCATTATCCGTAAAAAAATTATTTCAATAAAAGCAGCAATCTGGTTTGTGAAGGATTTTTACCATCTTTCTCTCAGCTTTCTTAAGAGCCTCCATATCATTTTTAAAATGTGTCCATGAAGAAGGCAAGAAAATATAATTTATATTATTTTAATGCCTAATGAAACAGTATAAAGTAAGCCTGTGGTTTACAAAATATAAAGAAAGCCTCATCTATAAAAAATTGACTTTACTGCTAAAGTATTCTGTTGAAAGGCATAACAAACAGACCATTTGAATATTTATAAGATAATTCTGTTTATTACAAGACAGTTTTCTTTATGGCCATTGTGAAAACATGTTTTCTCAATAATTTACGTCCCATATGTTGAAATATTTCATTCCTTGAGTCGATCAGTACTATCTGCATGATACAGTGTTTTTCTCTTTAATAAACTAGTTTTTCATTAACTTGATAGATCTTACCCCTTTTTACATCCTGCTGTGTAATAGAACTTTCTACAATGCCTTTTTTTAGTCAGTCATTTTGGAATCAGAAACCATTCAGGGTGTAATTCAGAACGAGAGCTGTTTGTTGATCCGGCACATGTACCAAGCCTGTGTTCACGTCTCTGGCCCTTGCAGAGCTGCCTGTCGTTACCCCACGAAGTCACCACTGTCATTCCTTGGTGTCGGACAGGGTGACAGTCCAGTTTTGCCTGGCCTGTTGCATGTGATGAAATAAACTCTTGTCTGTTTGAAGTAGTCTCCCTAATAAACTTGTTTTATTGTTTTTTTAAAGCTTATTCAGTACATTTACCTGGTTACTGGTCTTAACTGTCTTGTGAGGTTTTAAAGAGGCTTGGGGGATCATTATCTAGTATGAATATCCATATTTAGAGAGAGCTGGGTGAGGATCATTTCTTCCAGAACAGAGTTTTAAACAGTCATTCCCTAAATAATACTTGCAGTCATTCATTTGAATATATATTCTAGATACGTTTTGCTTCACAAAATATTGGGTACCTTTAAAAATATCTTAATTCTATCTTCCAGTGTTTTATTCTTATGTTTGTCAGTGAGCTAACGTAAGCCCATTTTTATATAGTATGACCTTGAGAATAATTGTATAATCCCATATAATACCTTCATTATTTAATATTGTTATACAAGTGTAATTTGTGTGTAAATGCTTATTCTGGAAGGGTAAGAATTAAAGGAAAGAAAAAACCCAAACCATAATTTGATATTTCCCTTCTCTCCTTATTTTTTGCAAAGTACTACTGTGCCAGAAATTTTCTGAAAAAGCTTCTGTAAAACCAATACAACATTTCTTTACTTACAGAAATAGTGTGATGAATAGTTAGTGCTTAATATCTCACACTGGAAATATCATATAACCTTTAACTGTGATGTTGAGATTAAGTTCTAAATCCTAAAATAAAATCACGAATTGAGTTGTTAGCAGTATTTCTTGTCAGATGCATATTTGATAAGCAGTTATTCCAAAAATGTAATCATGCCAAAAGATGAATTAAAACATCAATTTATATACACATTTTTGATCAGCTGCATGAAGCAAAGGAATATATATATAAGATAGCATTTGATTGTCAGAACATGTATTTCAGGAAATAAGAAATGTGTTACTACGCTCCACTAGGTTCCAGATCCTGTGAAAATTGGCACTTTCATAACGCTTTCTTCTAGATGAAGGAGGCGGACGAGAGCACAGGATCGGGAGATGGGCCAGTGAAGTCCGTGCGCAAAAGAAGAGTACGGAAGGAGTGAACGGGGCTCAGACTCCCAGTTCCTGAAGAGCGACGTCTGGCGATCCCGAAGCGGTGTGCCAGAGCCGAGCCGGAACCAGCCTGCGCAGCCCGTTTCTCCTGTCTACCAATGTTATTCTTTCAGATACCTATTTTAGTCTTTTCAGGAAAAAAAAAAAAAAAAACTTTGAAATTACCTGGTCTTTGAATTTAGAATAAAAGAAAAATGGCACTTACATATCAGATTTAAGAGGTTTATATTATTAGAAGTTACACAGTTTTAATAATTTGGAGAAAGTTTTGGTTTGTACAGAGCAAAAGAATATGCAGTGGCTTCCGGCTTATTGGAAAAATGGGTTATTGCGATTTCCTCGTAAACAGCTCTACCACAGGATAACTGGTAGTTCTGCGATGAAGAGGAGCATGTGTTCTGTTGTACAGAGCTAACTGCAATAAAGTTTCTGTGTGGTGGTTTAATTCTATCAACAATCGAAAGTGTTGTATGTGACCCCTATTTTAACCTAGTTTGTGTCAAATTACAGTTGTGGTCCATTGACTTAAATTATAGATCCCTTTAAAGAGGTGCTTTGCTGACAGATGAGTCAACAGAAATGTCTAAAGTCATTCACAGAATCACTGGTTAATAGTGCAGCATATTTTACATTTGAATACAAAGATAGCAGGTTTATCAAAACAACAGATTTTTTTCAAGCTTTTAGTTTTATGCCAGAATGGTTTACACGACTCATATTGCTTATGTATCCATTGCTCTTGAAAATACATTTTTTTCTTCTTTAATTTATACCCTCTTTAGTAGGTAGATTGTTGGGGTGCTTTACATTATTTTTTCTGATCATTGAGAGATTCTAATGGCTAATAGATATCAATCATCATGTTTTATATTTTTGTATTTTATTTTAAATTGCTTTTTTTCTGATAAATTCAAATCTAAGTCTACTGTCTCATCTAGCTTCAAAGCTGCCTGAGGTAGATAGCAACTATCACTCTTGCTCCTCTTTTTAAAGTACAGTAACTACCAAAAGTGACAGGATGACGTTATAATGGAGCTGTATTGTTCCATGTAAAATATTTTAAGGAGTTTTTGTTTGGGTAACAGGTTAGATCCTTTGGAAAGTGATCTAAATCTTTGAGACCACAAAACTACTTTAAAATTCTATCTAGAGAATTTTAAATTGGTTGCACGATATTTTGGATTCCTTCCTGGTCATATACACCCCATCTCTGGGCAAGCACCAACTACATTCCCGTACAATCCCCTTCGCAATAGGACATTTAGAGCTTACGTATAAGGAAAATGAGTCTCTAACTTCCCCTGTACTAACGGAAGCCAAACATAGCCGGTAATACCGTCCACTCCTAGAGAGTGATTTGCAAATGAATATAAGTTCATTCCATTGCTGTGTTCTGAACTTACATAAATTGGTGGTGGCAATCTTAATACATCGTTGACCATACTTTGTATTTCTTCAAATACGGAGAAACTTAACGGAACTTAACCCATCTTGCAAGGACTCCCTTTCTTGCTTTGTATTTGGAATGTCCAGATGAACTAGACATTAAATGATTCTACATGAGAATGTTTCTGAAAGTAAACAACTTCAGGAGATAAATCCTGCAATTTTATGGAAACCTTCTTGCCTGACAGGTATCTTGTATGTGAACATTATTTTTTCTAAAGATTTATTAAAGCTTTTTATACTTCTCGATAGCAGATTCGATTTAACTTTAATGTTTGGTTAAACTCCCATGATCTTGCAGTGGTAAAATGAGCAACCAGTTTTGCCAACTTACTGCTACTTCCTGTGGACATGCCCTCTTGGATGTACCATAGCTGACAGGTGTAATAAAAACTTAAACTCGTATAAATGTGTTTACTAGATCCATGCGGTAGACGAAACATAATCTTCCTTAACAACAAGATGGCTTTTTTCCTTTACCACCCTAATCTTTGTTTAAAATGACAAAATTTAATCTTCTCTAACAAAGGAGAAAAATAAATGTATCTTGCTTTTATTTTAGTTGGCCTTTTTAGACGCTTTCTAACTTGACCGGGCTAAAGTAGCTTCTTTTTTCTTGAATATATATATTTTTAAAGATAGCCTCACTTCCACTGATTATTTCTCTAGGAAGACACACATTACTAGAATTAGTGGCCTTTTTGAAAACTTTGCATCTCTGCCCCATGCACTTTTCTGAGAATTTGGTGATAATGAGTTGGAAGCCATGGTCGAAAATGGCAGAGCTATCTACAAGTTTCTGAATGATTAAATGGAACAAAGCCTGCTAGCTTACAGTGCTCACCTCAGAACCTTAGGAGAGAAACGCTTCTATTATCTTTATCGCATCTCTTGTTACGGAAGACTAGCCTAACCTGAAAAATACAACCACCTTCCCCCTGGCAATTTTGGATCCATCTTTGAATCCCTTGCTTTTATTTTTTAAATTAATGTATAATATCCTGTAACATTTGTTTTAATAAAAATATTATCCCCCTTAATGCCCCATAACTGGTACTTAAATAAGATATGCTACTTACTTATCCTGTGGCTTTGAACACCCCTGGATACACCACTATACCACTCACTGTATACTCTAGTTACTTGGGCAACTGTATCAAAACACAATTTCTGAAACAGCCTTTTATTAAACAGCAAAGTAAAATTGCAACACATTTTAAACATTTGTAAATTATGTCACAAAAGATGCAAAATGTTTTACAGTATGACTATTACATGTTCATACAGCTAGTCATTCATCAAATTGTACACCGATACAAGATTATTCCATGATTAAAAAGTAGGCCAAATCTATTAACTACAAGCTATATTAGTGATTCTCTTTTCCTATTTAACATTTTAACATTACTTCTGATTAATTTCCATTAGCAAATGGAATCTACAAAATAAATTTAAAAAAATTGCTGAAGAATGATTAAAACTGCAAACCAAGAAGTTGGATTTATAGAAAATTCTGGGAGAAATAGATAAAATACTGAGAACCTTATCAATTAGTATACATGTAAAACTCTCCCATTCATGATTCTGATACTTATACACTCAAGGGATTTTGCAGAAATTGATCTGCTCGGTACTACAAATATACTTTGAGACCAAACGCTTTGAAACTATTCTATTCTAGATGTAGTTGGCTAATGTTAAACTTAATCCACTTTCATATATATTCCCAAATATCTAATCTGTGCCAGAGAGAACACAGATCTGGAGTAAAAACATTTGGAGTTGGTTACTACTGTTTATCAAGTACTTCTTCCATCCTACTTGTCTTTTCTCAAAATTTTCTATTTCAAACATACATACATATAACCAGAGCTCATCTTTTCAGATACCAAATTATTTAGTGTAAAAGTTTTCAACAACAAGTTTCCCAATTTTACAATTCAGTTTCAAGGAAAAACCTTCATCTTTATAGCCTCTATTTTCAGTTGATTAAAGGGAAACCAACAATCCTATCTTACTACTAAATACAGACTTGTACTGCTTAACCAGAAGAATACGTTCTGAAAAGGCATTGTGCAAACGCTGTGCAAAGATCATAGAATGCACTTACACAAACCCAGATGGGAGAGCCCACTGTACACCTCGGCTACCGTGCCTGTCAGTGACTGAAACATTGTTATTGGGGGAACGGCTAACAAGTAACAAGCCCTAACTGAGAAAGTATCTTATTTTGGTTAAGTTTCAACAATTAGAGTTCAGGTTACTCTCCAGACAATTAACGATTGAAATTACTTTTACAAATGTGAAATCGGTTTTTTTCCTTTGGGGGAAGGGAAATGGGAAGGAAGTAGCGAATGGAGAAAGAGGCACAAGATGGTGGACGGGGTATATAAAGCTGTGCATTTAGTACACGATTTTGGTCACTTTCACAACATGATTATTTTCTTGTATCTCCTAACTACGCCTATAATAAAAGACAGTGCTAAACCTATAAATCAAAGCAAATTTGATAAAACATTATCAAGTTTCATAAATATATGCATTTCTAATTATAAAGTCTCTACAATACATTATCACATTTTTCAAAGACTAACATAATACACAAACTTATAGAAGTCTTCTGTTATGCTCTTAATTTTGCCTAGATCTGACATTATCTTCATAGTCAATGAAGCCACAAACAAATAACTTCTGGAATCTATCCAACATTTAAAGAAAAAACATCAGCAGCAACTCCATAGACAGAGGGACAGCTATCCCTTACTTTCGTTTGCTTTTCGTGTCAGTTGTTTGAAAAACACTAGAAGCTGACATGAGGTTTTCTATATATTGTCCAAGAACTTGGTTTTCTGATTTTAGCTTCAGATTTTCTTCCTTAACTGCATCTACTCTTGCAGAGAGATCTATATTAAAAATTAAAAAAATATATATCTGTTATCAATAAAATGATGGCAATGATTCTGTATCATAAAATGCTTATGATTCATTCTTGAGAGAATACAATCCTCGATTTTTCTATTTTTAAATTCAGATTACTTTAGAAGTTAAGGTATACAAAGTAAAATGAGTAAAAGTCAATACCAGAATTCCTAAAAAGAGACTTCACATTAGACTAAATGTTATTCTCTGTAAAACAGCATTTATGTGGAGTAGTTAATTCTTAAAATGGTTATTTTTTTTAAAATATGGATTTTGTTTTTAAAATGTGAATTTGGGTTCATATTTTATCAACATAAAACCATAATGTCTTCACTAGAAATGTTTAAGAAAATGTGACAGGTGAATACAACTGAATTCATATGCTGGATAAAGTCAGTTTCCAAGCAATTGAACATTTTATATTTTTACATTAGCATGAAATTCAAAAGATGCAGCTGCCGGTGATCGAATAAAACATTACCTCCACTCATTTATTTAATAACTAAGTACTGGGTACCCTCTAGAGCCAGGCACTGTTCTTAGAGGCAAAAATAACAACAAAAAAAAGTCCCTGCCCTCACAGAGCTTACATGCTAAATGTGCATATGGGCACATGTGCATTTAGGGGGCTTGAAGTGGGGGTCAGGAGGAAAACCAAGAAGGATAAGGAACATAGGAAGCAAAAGGGAAGGTGCCCTTTTATCCAGTATAGTCAGAGATGGCTCTTTTGATAAAGGGGATCTGACCAGGTACCTAAAGGAAATGAGGGAATGAGCATATAGATATGCAAATAACTATGCAAAAAGACCCAAGCAGAGGGGTAGGGCAACTGCTAAGACCCTGAGCAGAAGCAAACTTAAAGAGCAGCAAGGGGGTCAGCGTCTGAGGTAGAATGGATGCGGCAGAGTGTTGTGACTCTGTGACATGATCTGCTTGCTCTGGTGTCCAAAACAAAACAAAACAAAACAAAACAAACAAAACCCCACAACCTCTTCATTAAAAAATTAAAACCCAAAAAATGTTTCAGTGTTGGTATTTTATGCAAGACATTTAGAAAATGAAAAAAAAAAAAAACTCAGATCCATTCCCTTTTAATCTGAGGCTAATACATTGTTTTTAGTATAAGTGGGTTTAGTAACAATGTGGGGCTTTAAAGGGACTCTCATGTAGTAAGTAGCACATGTTAGATCTTAAAGAGGGGAGCTTGAGAACACTATGTGACTTTCTTACTGAAGCATCTCTGTTCGGGAAAGTCAGCCAAAGCTACAGGCAGACGGGGGCGGGGCGGGGGGGGAAGCTATTGAAATGAATGTAAAATTTATACTTTTAAAAACTGTGAACACTGACAAAAGTTAGCAACACAAAGGATAACAATTTAAATTAACTGATGCCATTCAAGGAAACTACAAAATGCAAGCTAACCTTCAAGTGTGTGTTGGAGTTCCAACACTTGATTAATAAGTCGCGTTTTTTCCTCCAGTTCCACCTGATTTTCAGCATCAACTGCTGTAATAAAAAGGTTCAAATTTACTATTAATTAACATTAGGTACCATTTGTGTAGCGTAGCATTTAAAGATCTGCAAAATGTTTTACATTTATTATCTTACTTGACTTATACAAGAGCCCTGTCAAGTAAAATGTTCTATCCCCACACTGCGGATAAGAACACCGAGGTGAAGATAAAGTGTTTTTTGCCAACCTCTCAGAGTTAAGGAACAGAAGATCCCTTAAATCCTTTCCAGAACTAGAAAGGACATAAATATGTAAGTAAATTAGCCAAATCCAAGCTTCTAAATATTGTTCTTTCCATTGCTTAATAAAGCAAAAGCATCCACAAAACCAAACAAAAAAAGGAAAAATACAAAAGGAACATTAAAAAAAAGAAAAATAACATACCGTCCATGTCAGCATTCATCATCTTGGGTAACAAACTTTTGGGCCTTGGATATTGGTCTGCAATAAGAAAAAGTTAGAAACACACGTATATAGCACTAAAACATAAGCTTGTCTTTCAAAAGTAAATTATGTGACCCAGTAGGACCCTTTCACATGCTTTACTGTTTTTAACGATAAAATAAACACCTAATGGGTAAATAAATATAGGATACGTACAAGTTCTTTACAAAGAAGTTTTAAGTAAACAAGAGAAAATGGTGGTTTTTTTGGTAATCGAATACATAATACCGCTGTACATTATTTTTGGAAGATAATGATCAATGCTAGCAAAGTTATAGAAAACTAAAATAAAGTCATTGTTTATATCTAAATGCTTTACACATACAAATCAACAGGACATTGCAGTTTACAGATGTGGACACTATCTCAGAAAGGCTATGTATCTTGCCTTAGATTTCACAGCCAATTCCGTAACAAGAATTTGAACTTAGATCTAACTATAAAGTCCCTTTTTCCATTATGCAATGGAAGAAACTATAATATGGCCCTAATCTAAGTTTGCCAAATATTTTGCAACTCTCGAAGCCAAACTCCTTTGATATTTCTGCTAAGCAACTGAAGATAAATTTCATTCGCTTCAAGCTGAATTAACAGTCAACGTGTTTTGTTTGTTCGGGTCTGTTCAAGTTCTGACTAGTTCTGGTTACATAAATCCACAAATTAAGGAACTGTTTGGCCAAACGAGGATCTGAACGTGAGCTAGGTCCCCCAGAGAATAGCTAGCTATCCTGAGCTTAACGAGCACATGCACAGAATACACAGGCACAGCCGTGGATCCCCAGGCACAGAGACGGTGCTGGGAACATAGCACAGCACGTCCTTAATGTTACGTCATAGTACTGGAATCGATATATTGTACGATAAAAGTCTTGCCTTTCAGGAATGTATCCCCTTTCTCCTTTCCAATC